CTCACCTGGAAGTCGTTGCGTTTGATGTTGGGCACGTCCATGTTGTGGGTGGACGGACAGATGTCCTCGTACTTCTTACCCGTGAAGATGTCGATGCCCACCAGGTGCACCTGCGGATACTGGGGTTACTGGGACAAACTGGGATGGACTGGGAGGGGATTGGGATGGACTGGGAATGGACTGGGAATGGACTGGGATGGACTGGGATGGACTGGGATGGACTGGGAATGGACTGGGATGGACTGGGAATGGACTGGGATGGACTGGGATGGGACTGGGAGGGAATTTTCCATGATCCCCATGAATTTTTCATGATTCCCTGTGAATTTTTCAAGATCCTATGGGAATTTTTTGCAATTCCCACTGGGATTTTCGCAATTCCCACGGGGATTCCGCAACTCCCACCAGGATTTTTTGAGATCCTCATGAATTTTTTAGGATCCCCTGGAAATTTTTTGCAATTCCCACTGGGATTTTTGTGATTCCTGCCGGGATTTTCGTGATTCTTCTTGGGATTTTTGTGATTTCCACCAGGATTTTACGATTCCTGCAGGGATTTCGCGATCCCCCACAGGGATTTCACAACTCCCACCATGATTTTCGTGATCCCCCATGAATTTTTATGATCCCCTGTAAATTTTTCATGATCCCCATGAATTTTTTGGGATCCCCTGTGAATTTCTCAAGATCCTATGGGAACTTTTCACCATTTCCACGGGGATTTTCGTGATTCCTGCTGGAATTTTCGTGATTCCTGCAGGGATTTTCACGATTCCCGTGGGGATTTCACAATCTCCACCAGGATTTTTTGAGATCCCCATGAATTTTTTAGGATCCCCTGGTAATTTTTTGCAATTCCCACTGGGATTTTTGTGATTCCTGCTGGGATTTTTGTGATTCTTCTTGGGATTTTTGCAATTCCCACCAGGATTTTTCGATTCCCACAGGGATTTCACAATTCCCACCAGGATTTTTGGGATCCCCAGTAAATTTTCCATGATTCCCTTTGAATTTTTCAGCATCCTATGGGAACTTTTCACCATTTCCACGGGGATTTTTGTGATTCCCGCCGGGATTTTTACGATTCCTGGAGGGATTTTTCGATTCCTGCAGGGATTTCACAACTCCCACCAGGATTTTTGGGATCCCCCACCAATTTTCCATGATTCCCTGTGAATTTTTAAGGATCTGATGTGACTTTTTCGCTATTTCCGTGGGGATTTTTCGATTCCCGCAGGGATTTCACAACTCCCACCACGATTTTCCTGCTCCCCCATAAATTTCCCGTGCCCCCCATGGAATTCCAGGAATTCCCATGGAATTTTTGGGGTCCCCAGGTACCTTGGCGTGGCCGTGTTTGCCGGTTTTGGAGGTGCTCATCTCCACGATCTTGCAGGGACGTCCCTTGAGCACCACGAAGCCGTTTTTACGCAGGGCCGAGCACTGCATGGGGAACGTGGCCGAGGCCCCCGCGTCCCCCGTCTCGAAGTCCAGGTCGTCGGCCATCGCCTCTCTGGGGGCGAAAAAACAAAAAAAATTGGGGATTTGGGGCAAGAAACACAAAATTTGAGGGGTCAAAAATTTTGGGGTTGGTGGAGGGTCAAAAAACCCAAAAATTTGGGTGTAAAGGGGGAAAAAAAAAGCC